ATTTAGACAATAAAATAGATGACCCAAACAAATTTTTTTCCTTGTAAAAAATTTCGCTAGCTCATATAGTATTTTTAAAAGTTTTTTTTTCTCTCTTTAGAAACTTCGTGGAATTCAAAAATTATTTTCTTCTCTTTTTTTTTAAATCAAAATTTTTAAATTATTGTTATTACTATGTTAAACAATCAATAAAAAAGTAAGAAATCAATTCATATTTGCTCAAAATTTAATTTAAAAAAAAAAATTTTTTTTTCCAGTCGGCACCCATCCAGTGCTGGCATAAAAATATCCTCAATAGTTGACAGGCCGTGAGTGGATTCTCCAATTATCTTAGGATTCTTTATCTTCTGGGTTGGGTTCAAAATGACAAGGATTCGACTTTTAACATTCCTTGTCATTAACTCAAAAAGTAGTTCGGTTGTTCAAAGCCGGTTACAACATTAAATAAAATGTGACGAATCAATTTTTCTTCTTCTTGTTTTATGAATAACATTCTAAGAATTAGATTAAATGTTGAAAACCTTGAATCCACAGGTTTGGAATGGCTCCTGATTTTGTATTCGTTTGCCCCATATACTACTCTGTACAGTATAAATTTTACGAAAAAAAAAACTGTTGAGAGAACGATTATCAAAGAAATCAAACACATAATTCTCTATTTTTGAATTAATTTATTGTAAATTGAAAAGTTGGATGATAAATGCTTAAGCAAATTATATATGCATATCCTTTTGTAATTAATTTAAAAATAAAAAAATAAAAATTCTACTCTCATTTAGCATAAATCATAAAAATAACCCAATCGAAAATATAAACAAATTATGGATCATTGATTGGATACAAACTGGTTTCAAAAATCATTATTGGTTAAAATAAAAATGGCCTCTTGGAATCACTTTTCCACGGAACGCCTATCGGGAACCACTTGTCTAGCACATAATGCGTAATAATTACGTTTTGTACTGTATAAATTTTAATTATATACCGTTTTTAATAATTCCCTATCCCTCTTATTTTCAAAATTCAAACTTTCTTATCTTGAATTCAAACTTTTCTATATTAACTAATATTTATTTTAAATAGCGATTTAACTTATGTTCAACTTTAAACCTCAAGTTGACACTATATTTGCATTCAGTTTACATTATAGTTCGTAGGTTACCGTTGGTTCAACCCATTTTCGCCACCCTATTTGATCGACTACTTTAAATTTTGGAAATCTGTCTTTATTTTCGTTGTTGCTCCTAAAGAATTGGTATAAAATAAATTTATAAAACGTTTAGACTTGGATGCTCTGAGTTAAAACTTCCATACAAACGATTAAGTAAACTTGCGGATAAATTGTTACAATCTTTTTTTCTCTGGAACTTCGATTCTACTTTATTCAATTAGGGATTAACGTTTCATTTCAGTATTTTTTTTATTCTGATTTTAAGCAGTAATTCTTGAAAACTTCGTTCCACTTCAACTGAAACAGAGAGCATTGTTGTCAGAATCGGGCCATCAAATGTTCCCTTGATGGACAGTTCGAGATTTATGATTCCTTTCACTTTTTCTACGCTGACTTGCGGAGATTCACTGTTGTCCCAGTTTTTAAATCATTTTATTCATTTAATTATTTATTTTTTGTGACCTCCCCACCGAGTATATCACAAAGAAGTTAAGTGACTAGCTTGTTATTTAATTTTCGCTTTTAAAACTTCCGGTTGTTACGTTATTGCAAAAACGCGGGCTATTTTTGCGAAGTCTGGAAAACTGAACTTCCGATATTGTGAAATTTCGAAGTGTTTCTCTTCGCAGCTGGTTCTTATATTGATAATGAAATTTTTTTGCGGCCTATTTATTTTCGTAACGTGTTGGAATAGTTGTATATTCCCAGAATTCATGTAGCTGCCCTGCTATGTACAGTAGAACTTCCTGTATGGTTTCTTTGTTCCGCTAGTCGCTCTTTGAGGTTTCCCATAATCTTCACAGCATTTTTGATTTTCAAATTTTTTTTTGTTGAAGCATCTATTTCATAATGAATCTCATTTTTTTCCCCTACCTCCTCTCTTTTTTAATTCATCCTAATTTTTGATTACACATTTGTGTTCGGAATTTTAAGTGTTTTTAGAAGTTTCACACTAGATGAATGCTTAAATAAATTAGAATTTTTGACTTAATTCACAATGTATCTTTCCTTAAAATAGTTGAGGCTTTTTCTTGAACATTGTGGTGTTAAAAATTATAGTACTAATAAATAGATCCCAACTTTAAAAAAAAAAAATTTTTAAATATAGTTTATGATATTAAGGTCTTGACACGATATTAGATGGATTGCTGTCAGACTAAAAAGATATTGAATGGCAATATCGAAAACGCATTTTCTGGTTAAACATTTCGTGAATTGTTGTTATGAACTTACTACTAAGTATGAATATTGTTTCTATACTATTCTATTTTTTTTTTCTTCATATTTCTCAAGAAATACTTCAAAAATAATTTTTGAACTTCAGATTATGCGATTTCTCATATTTATCATTGAAGTTTAAAGCTTTTAAAGGTATGTGGGACCGACAATAAATAACAAACGGAAAATAGGGTTTTTGGACACTCAATGCCAGAAAATCAAGCAATATCCTTGTAACTTGTATCGATTGCTTAAGTTTTTAATTTTAATAACTGCATTAAATTTCGTAAACCTAGCTTAAATATTTATGGGGATATGGACATTTTTATTAAAAAAAAGAATTAAGAAAAATTGTCTTACAACTTTATATGCTAATAAATTTTATATATAACTATTTAGCTGTAACTTTTAAAATATTCAATAAAATTAAACGAAATTTTTGGAGCTTTGGAATTAATAAAAAAACTTTTACTCCAATATTTGAAAAAAATGCGTTGAAAATTATGCAATATATCAGTAATTAGTTTTTTTAGACTGCACATGCGCTGAAAAAATTTTAAAAAAAAAACATATTTGTAGTGAAAAAATAATAATAAAAAAATCACAATCATAAATTTTTTTTAAAAATGAGAATCATGAAGATTTTTTAAAACATTTTTGTAGTGAATCGTTTTTGGCTACCAAAGAAAAAAATTCAATTTGAATATCTTAAAAAAAAAAAATTTTAAATTGTAGTTTCTGTACTATAAAAATTCAAAATAATAAGGGGATTTCTACAAATACTATTTTGTATCATAAGACAAAATTAAATAACAAATAATACCTTACAATAAACGTTCATTCATAAATATAGAGCCGGTTAAATCGTACGCGGGGCCCTAGGCCATTCAAATTTTTGGGCCCCTTAGATTAGAATTTTTTTTTCTCGTGTATATTTAAGTATAAAAGTATTTATATATCTTTTCATTCAAGAAAGCATATTTAAAATAAATAATAATAAATTGAATTTTACTTTATTTTGTTAAATTAGAACTAAAAAAATAATCATAATATATTAATTTGAAATTGATTTTTTTTTAAAAATCATTGTTTTTCTTAATTTATTTTCAAAATATCCATTATAAGGGGGCCCGTAATCATTGGGGGCCCCAGGCCATGGCCTAATGGATAATCCGGCACTGCATAAACATGATTGTATAAGGAAGGAAAGATCCTTTTCTGGGGGATCATTCTCTACAATGCCAGTGTCATTTTTTAATAAATCTTGTTTAATAGTGCAAATGAACTTAGTGGAAAACTTATTATTTCAAGCTTTCTTTTTAAAAGTACTAAGACTGCTTAGAAAATTGCTTGCAACTTCTTAAATTTTCCAGATACTCGAATTAAACTTCTTTTATTAGTTGCCAAGTACGATTCACTACAGAATGAACAAATTTTTTTTTAAAACTTTTTTCCCTACGCAATACTACTACTTAATAACTACTTTAATAACTCCTATCTTGCTCAGTTTTAAGCGAATTTCAAAGTTTAAAACAGTCATTTTGTTATGAATTTCAAATTGCTCCAAAGATTTTGTTTTATTTAATTTAATATTTTTAAAGCTTAAAAAAAAATGTGTAAGACAAAGAAATTAGTTTTTTATAAAAATGTCCATATCTTTATAAATATTTAAGGTACGTTTACGAAATTTATGTAATTATTTCTTATAATAACCAAAATAATTGTTACAAGTTACAAATTTTTGACTACATTTTTTGGCATAGATTGTTCTAAAACACGATTTTCCATGTCAGTCACTCAAACCTCTAAAAGCTTGAAAATTCATTGATAAGTATATGAAATTTATCTAAACACTTCTGAATTATAAAATAATTCTTTTTGTATTTTTTTGAGAAAGTTTAAAAAAATGTGTTATCATAGGAAGTGTTTCCGTTTTTTTTTTTTTTTTTTTTTTTTTTTTTTTTTTTTTTTTTTTTTTTTTTTTTTTNAGTTACAAATTTTTGACTACATTTTTTGGCATAGATTGTTCTAAAACACGATTTTCCATGTCAGTCACTCAAACCTCTAAAAGCTTGAAAATTCATTGATAAGTATATGAAATTTATCTAAACACTTCTGAATTATAAAATAATTCTTTTTGTATTTTTTTTAGAAAGTTTAAAAAAAATGTGTTATTATAGGAAATGTTTCCGTTTTTTTTTTTTTTTTTTTACCCCTGTCGAAGTTGATCTATTTTTGTATAAGTTGTGATTCATTTTATTTTTAATAAATTCTTTTAGTTTCGATGGTTTTATTCACTTTCTTTTTTTTTTATACTCTTTTACATTTTAATTGCTCTGTGAAAATCTTAATTGCTTACATTTCGCCATTCATTCCTATAGAGAATAAGCATCTAATATTTGATATAATTCCTTTCTATCTAATGAATATACAGTAAAAACAAAATTAAAAGTGAAATAATTTTTTTCAGATTTATTTTAATGGGTTTCCTTTCTTCTTTCTTTGTAGATTTCACTTTTCATTTCTTTGTAGATTTGGCAGGGTTTGATATGCCTTGCCTCATTTAATAATAATTGACCATTCAATTTTGTAAAATTTATGTTGCATTTAGATGACGGTGGTGGCTTTGGTAAAAGCAGATTTGACCAATCAGCCGGTGGTGGATTTTTGAATACTTCTGTTGCTGCTTCTCCCAGTGGAACTGAAAAGAAAAAGGTTTTTATTGATTTGTTATATTTAAAATGATAGAAATTTTACTACATGAAAGTGGGTGCTCTTTATTATTCATGAAGAAACAAAGAAAAAGCACTCGAGTCTTCAATTCCACTTTATTTTAGTAAAGTAAAAATAAGGGATGCACAAATCAAATGATATAATAGCTAAAATTGAAGTAAAAAAGCGAGTCATTTCAGAATTGATCTTCCGAATTTTCTGCTTTCTCATATTATGCACGCATAATAGATTTCGCATAGCTCCCGATAACACTATTTGTGCTTCTCAGCGCATACGTAAAAATTTCTTTAAAGCGCTGTATCGCTAAGTACAGCGATTTGTAGAAAATTAGGGAAGAAGGCTAACATTATGCAGCATCTCAAAATTGTCTTGATGAAAAACAAGCTGTTAAAAGAGAAGAGAATTTTTTAGTTTCCCTAATTTTTTATCTGCGAAAACTAACTTTAAAAAAAACGTCTAATTTTGCCTGCTAGGCTAAAATGAATCTGCAGTGCTATACTTGTCATTGTAGTTCTGCTTCCATAAGTAGGCATATTCTTATATTATTTGACCTGTAGTATTATTCAAGTGGCCTTTCCTCCTTTTATTTATATTTTTTAATGTGAATTAGTTTCTTACACTGTTTAAAAAATACTTAGCGCAATTGTATCAAGTTAATATACTAATTAAAAAACATTGTATGAGGAAAATTACTTTAAATTAAAAGTCCTTTAGTGATTTTGCAATTTTCTAAATCCATATCTTATTTTCTTAAATTTTGCATTTCTCTTTTAAAAAAAATAACTTTGAAATATTTATCATCATTTATTTCTCTCTTTTTTTTTCATTTAGGCCAGCAGACTTTCTAATGTTGTGCCTTGTACAATAGCTCAAATCCACTTGATGTCAGAAACTGATGAAAATTTAAAAATTGGCAGTTTAAGTGCAAATATTGTAAGGCTATTATTCATATTTTATTTATTTGTTTTGTACTTAAAAATATTTATTTTAGTAGCTCGCAATTATGACAATGTGTATTATAAGTAAGTATTTCAGTTGACATGGTTTTTTGAAACTTTCATCAAAAAAATTAAAAAAGTCATAGTTTAAGTGCCTTAAAGCAACCTTAACTTAAAACAAAGCTTTAATTTAAAACTATGCTATCTTCCCTTGAGGAATTATCTGAGCTAAAGTTATTAAAAAAATTTAAAAATTGCCAATATGGCAAATTTTTTTCACCTCGTTTAAAATTATCAAAATCACTGCCATTTTATCAATATTTGCAAATTTTTGTGACTACCAATGATGCAACATTAAAGTAAGTTTTTAACGGTTTTAGTGTCAAGCAGCGTGATCGCGCCATTGAGATTTTACGTCGAGAAAACATTTTGAACATGTGGACAACTGACGGTGCTTTACCTATTGTTGTAGTCGCACGCACACTGAGATTTATTAAAGCAAGCCACACAGCTGCTTTTAATGTAAATAGTACAGTTCTACAATAGGTAGAATAATTTTTTAATAATGTAATAATACATTACAAAATAATTTTTTTTTTCTTCATATTTATCACTATTCTCTGAAGTATTCAAAATGCGTTGTCTTTTGCACTTTACAAAACAATGTTGTCGTCAATAATATGATCACATGAATTTGTGATTATGCTCATAGATTTTCCTTTCGATTCATCATACCTTTTAGGGGATTGACCAAATTTAAAAAAGTTAAACAGTAAATCTAGATACATTTTTTACTTACTTTTTGCATCGCTTAGTCTAATAATTTTGAAACACATAATTACTAACAATAAGAAAAAAGTAAGAATACTTTGCAAACTGCAATAAATGTGATGGAGTAATGAGAAAAGGACGTGTTACCTATCAAATACAAGAAACGCTGCTTGGTATTTCTCGACATAAAATTAAACAAGCAGTGTTGCATTGCTTGGGATTCTTGGACAGTATTTTTTCTATGCCCCCTGACTCAAACGGTTAAGTATTAATTGGACCATAAATACTTTTCATTTTTCACAAAACTATTGTATTGCTCTTTATTGATGTTTTGTGCCATTTTCAGAATAAGCATAGAGAGCACCGACTATAGATAGACTAAATTTGTCCTAACTGTCATGAGTATCTGTTGCAAATTCACAGCAGTTATAAAAAAATTATCTGCAAGTGAAGCATAATTTTATATGATGACAAAGACTTTAATAAATCATAGCATTAAATCTCTTCAATGTTTAATATAAAATCTTCCATTTTTTTTCCTCAAGAATTTTTTTTTTCTCATAGTATCAATTGTTATTGATGCTTACATTCTACAGTATCAGTACTTACATTTTATTTATTTTATATCAGCATTTTCATTTGAAGTATCAAACAAAAAAAAACTTTCTTTATAGAATTATATAGTAGTATATGCCCATTGTGTCACTTTTACGTTTTTTACTTCTATTCATGAGGTTTGTGAAATATGAAGTCTAGACAAATTGTGCTGAATACAACTAGTTTACTGTCACCTTCAAATACTTTGATAAACTTAAAACTAGGTTTAGAAACTTTAATTTTGTATTAGAGCAGTTACTAAGTAATGTTTTTATTTTGAACTTCCCTCATTTCTAAGTTGCCTCTGCATAAATTCTTCTTATAATTAAAATCCTAAATTCCAATGTATCGAAACCTCGTAAAGTTAAATTCAACTTCTTTCCAATATGCTTTATTTGGATTTTGAAGACACTATAAATTTGTGAATGCTTTAAAAAATATTCTTAGACCAGGTAATTCAACTGATGTAATTTCGATTCCAGGTCATTTTAGTCGGCCTAGTTCAGAGTGTCGATGTACAAGCTACAAAAGTGACCTATGTAATAGATGATTGCACAGGGTCACCCATTGAAGTTCAAATGTGGATTGGAGAAAGTGATGTAAGAATAATTTTTCTCTATTTCTTCAAAAATCTTTTTTTTTTTTTTATAATTTTGTTACCAGTATACTGTATATGACTATGTAATTCAGCTTAAATCTTATTATATATTTAATTTACTTTATTATATATTTACTTAAACCTGAAATTGAATTTAGCAAAATATTAAACTTAGGCTTATTTTCTTGGCATTATTATCATTTATAACTTTAATAAAATTACGCAGTGCATGTCATTTAATTTTACTTTAAAAAAGATGTCTATCAATATTGATCCAATTAATTTAAGTGACTTTATACTGTATATTGTATGCTTGAGAAATCAATATAAATTTATGTAAAAAATATTTTAAAAAATTCTATGATTCAAAATTCTATGGGCATATAATATGCTTTTTTAAGGATGCTTTGAGAAAGTATGTGAACTTTCCCTGTTGAAAAACAACAGTATCCTTGTTGAAAAAGAAGTGTGTTGAATGTTAGATTAAAAAATTAAGTTTAAAATATAAATTTGATGATGCCTTGATGCTTTCCAGGAGATGTCTGATTTGTAAATTGTTAATTTATATAAATTGGTTTTTCCTATTTTAATGGGCAAATTCACTTTTTACATGTAGAGTTCGCTAGATCAGACCGGCGGGTCGGAATACCAAACCTGCGACCTTTCACAGGGTTCCCACGGGTCAGGGAAAACCTGGAATTGTCAGGGAATTTTATTTCAACTCCAAAAATCAGGGAATAGTCAGGGAAATTTGCAATTTTCTTACAAAAACCTGGAAAATTCCTTCATTATACCTGGAAAAAAAACCAGTCTTAAAATACTCAGTTATTGAGATTAGAGTTAAATAATTCTAACATTTATTACAGTTATTTGTTGAAAAAATTTTACATTTTAGACCTACTGAAATGCTTCCTTCCTCATATTAGGATGTTTATTTTACACAAAAAATCTAATACTTGGCACAGCAAATAAAAGAATCCAAATTTTCTGATGAAAAATTTCGTAGTATAGATAAAATATGGTATGGATTTTCATTGAAATTTACCTGGAAAAGTCAGGGAATGTTTTTTTCTGAAATTGAGTGGGAACCCTGCTTTCATCCTAATATTCTTTCTGCTGCCAGAAATTAACTGCAACTGACTGCAGGATACTGATGTCATAATTATTCATCGCACATTTTCTCCAGTATATATATGCATCTGTTAAACCACAAAACCACTACTACTCTGTTATACTCTATTTTGAATTTTAATTTGTTTTTAAGTTAGTCACGCAGCTTTTGTGACTCTATCATTTTCCCGGAAAATAAAAGTGTTTATTTTTATCTTCTGATTGTTTTGATGTTGTCTTTGGTTCCGTAAAAATGTGAGAATGCTATGCCTCATTCCCACATACATTACAAATCAATTTTACAATAGTTATTTTGATGACCATTAATTAATATTTTTATTGAGTTTAGTTAGTTATTTTTTGTATTCGTTGAAACTTAAAAAGCTGTACATTTTCAAAATATATTTGTTTGGATTTTATTTGATAACCTAATTTTCCTTTGTTTGTAATCACAGGAACTCAACAAAAAGGTAAATATTATTCATGAAAATGCTTATGCTCGAGTGACGGGGGCTATTAGGTCTATGAAAGGAAAGCGACATATTCTGGCATTCAATATTCAACCTGTGAACGACTTTAATGAAATTACAATGCATATAGCAGAAATAATCCATACATCTATGGCTATCGCTGTTATGGATAAACAGGTGATATGAGTTTTGATTATGATATAAGTAAGATTAGTAGTATAACTTAGGCTTTTTAGTTTTTTTAATAACTATAAAATTCTATAGTTTGAGGGTCATTTTCTGAAAAAGACTTTTTCTGCAAGTACCTCGTTTAATAAAAAATAACAGAAACCAAACTGTATCTGGCAGTTAGAAAAGGGAACAAATGATAAATTTCTTCCATAAGACATTTTATTAAAAAATTATTAGGCTTTGTTGCATTTTGCAAGCACTAAATATTTATCAAAACATATTTATATTAATGTTAACAAAAGTAAAATCAACTTGCATTTGTTTTATAATAAGTTATGGAATGACATGCCATGAAATCATTTGCATTGATCTAATACTTGACAGCCATGCATAGGCACTGTTCTCCCATTAAAAACAAAATGACTTCCTTTCTTTGCTATGATACAGACTAGATTCAACCAGTATATAAGCTACATTATCTACTGATTTTAAAGACATATTTATTGTTTCGTGAGGGAATGAGGGTGATGCCTAAAACTTTTATATTTAATGAATTTTATTTTCAAACTATTTAAAAATGCATGCTGTGATACAATAGAAATTACTTTCATTTATCTACATACTGCAAGGAAATGGTATTTTGCTGTTAAAAAATATCTTAATATTGTATTTTGAATTCCAATATGCAAGTAGTAACAATTTATGTGTGTAACTGAACAATATCAATAGTTTCCACTACATTTTGTTTTTTAAAATTACAAAAATCTGTCTTGAGATTTCATGGTACATTAAATAGCTACTTTTTCGAAACTTCATGATTGATCTTTTGTTCCTTTTTTTCCTTACTAAGATGCAAAATTAATGGTGCGAAAGATTGGGGTGAAATATGTTAATGAGTTATTCCAGATGATAATTTATTATAAAAAATCAGAGACAAAAATAAATACATTTCATTTTAAATATTTTTTTTTGGACCAAATTTGACTTTAAACTTCATTGCATGGGGGGGGGATAGCTGCAACCTGGAGAATGTGATCCCAATAGCTTATAACGGTTAGAGCAGATAAAAGTTTCGACCCTCAATGTAAATCAACTTTTTGCGTATCTTTGCCATAACACACAAGCCAACTTCAGCAAATTCAGAACTTATTCACCCCAGGGAAAACCTGGAAATTGTCAGGCAATTTTATTTTGTCTCTAAAAAGCAGCAGTCAGGAAAAATAGCAATTTTTTACGTAAACCTGGAAAATTCCTATATCATACCTGGAAAATAATCAGTCTCAGAATAGTTAATAGCACTAATCAACTATTGAGATTCGAGTGAAATAATTTTAGCATCTATTACATATATTTGTTGCAAAAATGTCACATTTTTATTAAACTTTCATGCTTTCATCATTATTTGATGATTGCACAAATTCATAATTGATTGCAGAAAAAATCTAATATTTGACATAACAAATAAAAAATTAAAATTTTCTGATGAAATATTTCACTTTATATGTAAAACATAGTCTTCATTTTCACTTACATTTTCTTGATATGCCTGGAAAAGTCAGGGAATTTTTTTTTCTGAAATTGATTGGTAACCCTGAACTCTTCTATCCTAAGATAATTCCATTTAAGAAGTAAAATTTTAGAACTATTTATTATTTGATAAAAAAAAATTTGAATAGCAAGGTTGGTATATGAATTTTTGTCATATTCTGAACTTAGTAGTTTAAAGTAACGAAATATTACATTGGACCAAAATCAGTTAAATAGTTTCTGAGAAATAAAAGTTCAATAAGTTTTTTAATTTATTTATTTAAATTTTATTTCTCAAGAACTGTGACTAGTTTTGTTTAAATTTGCATGCTGTTTTTCAAAATTGCCTGGTCTCGAAAAGTATATAAATTATTTTATGTTTCAGTTTAGAAGTTTTTCAAGTAATTTTAAACTAAATAATAAAGAAATATTAAATTATTATTAAAAAAACTTTTGTTTGAAATTAATTTTGAATACTGAACGAGTTTTATAATTCTGCTCAAAAAGTTTCTGATTTGCTTTGATGGTTTCAAAAATATGGCAAAATTTGCAAAAAATTAATAGTTTGGTTCTCATTTATATTATATTTGGTTTTTTGGTTCTCATTCATTAATAAATAGTTTGGTTCTCATTTTCTTTATAAAATTGTAATAATGTAATAATGGCTTACATTCAAAAGTTTTATAAAGAAAACTGGTTTTAAAATAGCTTTTGTCATTTCTTAATATGATTAGCGAATTTGTTGCAAAAATTGGACCAAAAGATTTGAAGTAAAATTTTGTTCATGAACCAAATAAGTTTCTTATTTTATACAAGTAAGATTCATTTTGTAATTTTAAAACTGAAAATTTCTTCTAAATATAGAGTTCAGGAGGCTTTAATGCATCTACTATGATGAATCCTGGAATGACAGCTTCTTCAACTGATACATTTGCTTCAAATGATTCTAGAAAACTAACTAAACCCCAACAATTGGTTTGTATAGATATATTTTTTAGACTAACTTTTCAATAATAACCAAATATTTTCCCTTTTACTTTTTCACTGATGTTCAGAATCAGAAAACTTTTAAACAAAATTTAGTAATTTTTAGTTTTTCGATTGCACCATACTAAGTGTCTATGAATATGAAAAATGGAATTTAAACGAAAATTATCAGGTTTTTCCTAATATTCT